CCCGGGGAGCCCGCTGCACTCCCGCGTGCTGCAGTACCGGGAGCTGCTGGACTCGCTGCCCATGGACGCCTACACTCACGGCTGCATCCTGCACCCCGAGCTCACCACGGACTCCATGATCCCAAAGTACGCGACCGCTGAGATCCGCAGTAAGTTGCCTCTCCTGCAGGGCTGCCTAGAGCCGGCAGCACCCGGTCCTGCTTCCGACACAGGGAGTGTGAGTGGAGCAGGATGGACCTGGCGCCCCAATGCCATGTGCAGCCTGTGGCCATCCTGCCCTCTGTGGCCATCCTGCTCTCGGTGGTCTCCCCTTTCCCAAGTGTGGGCAGGGGGAAGCTGGGAAGCAGCAAAGCTCCTCAGGAGCTGCAGGAGCCCAGCAAGCTCCCCAGCCCCACGTGTGTCAGATGTGCTCTTCCCACCCCAGCCGCTGTGCGGGGAGTTGATGTCCAAGTGCCGGATGCCTCTGGATCTGCTCGCCCACTGTCCTCATCACAGCTCCCACATCGCACTGATCCAGGGAGAAAGTATCCCACCTCGAGGCAGGAGGCATTTTGAAAACGCCGGTCCTCGTTTCCATGTCAAAGCAGCCTCTCCTCTCTCTGGAGACCACAACAAGACCAGGGGGGCATTTACAACCCGTGTGCTGCTGTAAACCACTCAGCCCTGCTGTGTTTCGGTGGCAGCACAGACCCTGCACGGGGCCGTGGCCCCCTCTCCAGGCAGATGAGCAGCACCGAGGAGGCAGGCAGGGACCCTGGGGTCGTCTCCCTCGGCCAGGGCCAGGCACCAGCCCTGCACTCGCCTGCAGGCTGCAAACACCCCCAGCCCAAAGCCTCTCTCCAAGGATCTCCCCAGACCCTCCCTCACGTGCCCGGGCTCGCTCCCGCCCCGCCGGCACAGCCGCTCGCCCATCCACATCCGTCCGTCCATCCTCGCCCGTCACCTCCGTCCCAGGCGCCCACCCTGACGCCCAGACCAGCTGCCTCCCTCCTCTTGCCAATAGCTTTAAGGACGGAAGTGCGAGTCCACAGAGGGATTGAATTGCAGATTCAGGATGCATCTGCATGAGGTTGTGTCCCTGACCTTCAAGCACTCATGAAACATTGACGATACTTAATATAACCGAGCTGCAAGGATCGCCGCTGAAGTGAGCGCCTCTCTGGGAAGAGACTTGGAGGTGGCCGCGTCTGCCAGCTCCTGCTGGTTCCCTTCGCAAACACGAACATGTTGGGATATGTTGATGAGTGGGACATGGGAGTCAGGCTGGGCTCGGGGGCACCCCGGGCAGCATTCCTG